AACCAAGGAGGAGCAGCGCTTGACCATCTGGGAGGAGAGGGGTCTGACATCTGCCTAGAAACGGGGGTGGACCAAGCTTGTGGTCAACTTCTCTGTTGACATTGGCCTGTCATCTGCCAGAATACCGTAGTCAGATGCGATCTCTGAAACGCGGAGGTGGAATGAGCGGGGAGGCGTGTGGTGCACAGCATTGCACAGCTATCAGCCGTGGCCAAAGCGCCTGGTGCTGGGCCGGCTGCTTCGTGTAACCCTGTTAGGTTCCCGCAGTCACCCTCAAGGCAGTCCCACACTGCACAGGAGTAGCCTGCATCAGAGGCCAGGATGTGAGAATGCCCCACAGAGTCCTCCAGGTCCAGGGAGGCTGGCACAGGGCCCTCAGGGGCTGTCGGAGCTTTCCTGGTGTGCTGCTCAGGGGGCAGCGCTGGGTGACCGAGGGGCCAGCCTCTGAGGGGCAGGGATGGGCTTTACTCAGGAAATGAGACTGAACTTCTGAAGCAAATGGACTGTCCTGTTGACTGGAGACACAGAGCGACCCAGAAAGCACTGAGCGAAGCTGCAGGAGTGACAGGGACTACTGATTTGCACTCTTGCAGCGAGTGAGTGAACCCAGGCTTGATTTGGGGCCTGAGGAATGGGGTTCACTGCTGCCATTTAGCTGCCTGGGACTTTCCACATCACGGTCCTATGCGTTGCCAGATATTTCCCAGATGTAACAGAAGAGCTTGACAAAGCCAGGATGTATAAATAGTTCTAGAGGTGATACAAAGAGTTCAGGATCAGATCGGGTGATTGGCAAATCCCCCCATGTGACAGCGGCGAAAGCTGGACCTTAGACATGGGGCACCCGTCCAAGGCTCCTCATGAAAGCTCTTTGCCGCCTGGGTCTGCGCGCAGGCCAATCTGATTAACCCCTGATCCAAGTCTCCTGCCATGCAGTGCCAGAGTGTGTCGAGCTTCTGTGTCCCTGTCCTCACCCCTGTGCTCATGCACTGAAGGGCCAGCGGAGGCCTCCGGCCAGCTCTGCTCCACACGAAGGCTGTGGGGCCTCAGTCAGGCTACACAGGGCCCCAGATGCAGTGCCATGCACTGCCTGCTCTTGCTCCTGTGGCCTCCAGCACCTGGGACACAAAGCTGGCGCCAGACATTCTCCACATCGTCCTCTTCCCCTCCAGGCCCTCTGGGTGCCCAACACAGTGCATCCCACACCCACCCTGAGGCACCCAGGGGGCGGGGCTGAAAGGAGGGCCGCTCACTCCGGCCTCACTGGAAATAGGCATCTGTGTCAGCGACAGCGCGGGTGCAGCCACGGCGGTGCTCCACCACGCCGACAACAGCACAGGTCCTTTTCCAAACCCACGCCTGGGTCCTGTCCCCGGCCCGCAGGGCACGAGGAGCCGGTTGCTGAACTGGATGCTGCAGCTGCCTCGAACCCAGCACAACAGCGCCTCACTCTGGGTTGGCAGAGGCAGCCTGTGCGTGGGAAGGGGCGTCCGCAACAGAAAACCAGCACAAGTTTCCACAACTCTGTTCCGGAACCCTTGGCGATGTCAAGACCTCCCTCTCTGGACTCCGAGAGGCCCTGCTCTGTACAGAAGCAGGTGCTGCCTGCTTGAGCCTGTGGTTCCCATTCCTGCCCCTGGGAACTGGGTGCTCAGCCATTCCTCAGGCTTCTGCCCTCCATGCCTTGCCAAGAGCCTCCCTCTCACCTAATGAGCACCTGGAGACCTCAGGGTGACACCTGCCTCCCAGGGCGCTTGGGGACCTTCCTCCTAGACCTGAAAGCAACTGTGGTGTGGAGATCTCTTCTCAGCAGAGCCCTGGTGCCTCCCACAGGTTTTCTCCCTTCTGTGCCACACTCCTGTCCCTTCACTGTCTGGGACCAGCTGACTGCAGTGATTTAGGCGAGAGCTGGGAGCTCAGATAGACGCCACCAGGGGCACCTTGAACCCCTGTGCAGGCCAAATTCAATCCCCGGTACAAAAAAAAAAAAAAGGTGAACTTTGTTCATTAAAAGCCTATACCCCAAAGGGCATCCAGATTTTCTGTGTATTTTGAAGACATTCAGCTGCTTTTAGTTTCAGATTAATTCACTGTGCTGTGTCCCTTAGTGGGGTAGATCTGGGTGTCCCTGCTTCTGGCAGCAGAAACATCACTTAAAGGTTTAGAAAACAAAACAATAATTCAAAGCACAATATAGAATGCAATAGAATGCAAAATCCGTAGAATTTATAAATAGAATCTCATCTATCTAAAATGTGGGGCTGGAGGGCATCCTTGGCTGAAAAGCTTGCATTCTCCACCTTTCCAAGCTTGCCGGACTGACTTTGTCACTCTGAGCCTCTGTTTCCTTATGTGTAGGACGGAGGGGAGTTGGAGCTGGGGGAGCCTCAGGGTTGGCCTGCTGTGCTTGCTTTCTTTCTATTATTATTATTTTTTTGGTACCAGGGATCGAACTCAGGTCCTTGTGCTTGCTAATCCCCAGCCTCGTTTTTTTTTTTTTGGTGGTACTAGGGATCAAACTAAGGACCTTGTGCTTGCAAGGCAGGCAGTGAAACCACTGAGCCAAGTCCCCGGCCCATATATGCTTTCTTTTACTGATGCCACCAACCCATACCTTTCCTTATGTATCTGTCAAAGCCCTCCAGGAAAACTCTAACTGGTGTATCCACCTACATCCAGAGATTCATCTGAAGGTGTGGGCACGGGTGACTTCACAAGGCCTCAATCTGTACCGCAGCACTGTAGGCTGGAAGTTTGAGTTAGTGTAGGATCTCGAGGCTACATTGCTGCTGCTTCTTCTAAAAACCCCAAGTTTTTGCTTTTAAGACCCTTCTCCTGATTGCATGAGGACCATCCACGATATTGAGAGTCATTTCTTTGACTTAAACGATTATAGAGGTTACGCCAGCTACAGGATGCCTTCAGAGCAGCACATCCATGAGTATTTGATTAAATACCTCCGTACTGCAGTCATGCTCATCAGTGCCTGAAAGTACTGTAACCTTCCACTGGGGGCTCAGAAAGGCTCTCCTGCTTAGCTTAGGGTTCCGGTACCATTCTCTTGAAATTCTCAATAATTTTGGGTCTGGGGCCCTGCATCTTCCTTGCATTGGCCCCTGAACCCCCACAGCATCTCATGCTGCGCAGCTGGGCTTGCTGTCAGGGCTGTGGACTGGGGCCCACTCTGGAGCCCCTCTGACCACATGTAGCCACGGCAATGGCGGTCACCTTGCTTCCCGGGCCCAGCATCATATTCTCCTTTATGCTACCTAATGTCCTGTGTATGCCTTGTTTCCCTGATCTAGAATGAAATTTTCTTTATTTTTATTGGGGTGAAAAATGCAGACTAGGGCTGGAGATTTGGCTCGGTGGTTCTGACCCCTCCTCGCAAGCACAAGGACCCAAGTTCAATTGCCAATACCCAAAAAAAGAAAAAGAAAGAGAATGCAGACTATACAACACACCATTTTAACCATCTTCAGGTGCACAATTGAATGACATAAAGAACTTTCACACTGTTGTGAAATCACTACCATCCTCCCCAGAACTTTTTCCTCTTCCCTGGCTGGAACTCTGCATCCATTAGACATGAACTCCTTCCTACTTCCACCCCTAGCCCATGGGAACAACCATGCTATTCTGTCTCAATGAATCTGACTGATCTGAGAACTTCATTTAAATGCAATCATAGGAGATTTGTTGTTTTATGAATGGCTTGTCTTCATGTTGTAAGAGTCCATCCATATTGCAGGATGTGTCAGAATTTCCTTCCTTTTTAAGGTTGAGTGATATTCCTTTGCATGTACAGACCACATTCTGGCTATTGTGAAGAATGCTGCTATGAACATGAATGCCCAGACACATCTCTAACATCCTGTTGTTGCTCCTCTGGGGAACAGGCCATTTCCCTCAGCAGTTGCACCATTTTTCATCCCCAGCAGCAAAGCCCCATTGTTCCAATCTCTCCACATCCTCACCAAAGTTTGCTAGTTCCTACTTTTGAAACTTTTGCCATTTATGTTGATATTAATGGGTGTGAAATGGGATCTCATCATGGAGTTATTTGCATTTCCCTAATAAGTAGTGGTGATGATCATCTTTTCAAATATTTGCTGGTGGTTGGTATATCTTGGAGATATTTGTAATCATATAAGTTACAATTAGAATATACATTTCATGAGGGCAGAAAGATATCTTAAGTTTCTTCTAATTCCTCCAAAGCACTTGATGCATAGTAGATATCTGAGGAATGTTCTATGCAGCAAGTCAGACAAACTGAAGCTTTTAGTTTAGTTTTGTTTTGTTTTGTACCAGGGATTGAACTCGGGTCCTTGTGCTTTCAAAGCAGGCCACCGAACCACTGAGCTAAATTCCCCGCCCCTGAAGCTTTTAAGAAAGGACCATGAAGAACATTTTCCGCGAGGGCAGTAGAGACACATCACTCCCAAAGAGCTGCCCTGGAGGCTAAGCAGAGGGGCACACCGGAAGTGAAGTGAAGGTCACCGGAAGTGGGTCTTAACTGAGAAGAGCTGAGGAGAGCCGCCCCCTCAAGCAAGCTCTGAGGAGGTGGCAAATGCTAGCGCCCTCCCGGGCAGCCAGCACCCAGTGAGCATGTGAGGACCCCTGCAGGTGAAGGGCAGCAGGCAGGGTCCACACCACTCCTGCGCCCAAACACCTCCAAGGGCTGCATCCTGATGATACAGAGCCAATGATGTAGGGATGACACATGGAACTCCAAAGTAATCCAAATAATATATGGTAAATATCGTAATTCCCAACCTGCTAGATATCCAATATGCCAAATTCACATTCTCTAAAATTGAAGAATGGACTCTAGGAACAGCGGAGGTTAAGAGTAGAAAGTATTTACTGAGAGAAAGATAAGCTCCTATCTAAGAGAAAGGGAAGGGGTTCCAGAAAGTGGGTTGCCTGAGCTTTTCACGGAATTTTACAGAGCAGAGCCACAAGGTGGCGACCTACAAAGTGGGACAAAACTATGGTCAATCAACAGGATTACAAGTACAGTTGCTTAGGTACTGTTGATCCAATGGGGAATCACAACCTGAGTATAAGATGAGACAAAACTACACTCAACTAGTAAGATTACGAGTATAGTTGCTTAGATAATAATGATTAAATGGAGATCCACCAGGGAAGCAAGTCCCATAGCAAGCACACACCGACTGAATAGAACTTTCCAGGAAAGCATGTGCTAGGGAGGTTTTTGGGCCTGACCCAAGGTGACCGATGTTATTTAGAATATTGATCAGTGCTGTTCATCCCTAGGGGAAGTACGTGAATGTCCTCATTTTTCCTTGTCTTGAAGCCTGACCTTCAACAAATGCACCTCCAGCCACAGTTGTAATATGTTATCTCCTGCACTGACTCTTGACAAGGCCCGGTCCTATCTGACTGCCTATAGTATTTTATTTATTTTTTTTTTTGGTGGTACCAGGGACCAAACTCAGGACCTTGCACTTTCCAGGGAGGCGTGGCACCCCTCAGCCACATCCCTGGCTTGCCTATAATATTTTAATTAATATTGAGAGGGCTGGAAGGGAATCCCAAAGTCACAGTCCTTGGGACTTTCACTTCCATACCTTGCTAGTAGGCAGAACTTGTGAGTTACAGGGTCCCTGACCTCCTAGACAAATATAGCATGAATTAGGGCTCCCCTTTCTCCTGGACAGAGTGTGGTGACTAGAGGTGCAGGAAAGGGAGGGGCAGCATGGGGATGTCCGTGGGGTTTGGGTGCCATGAGGACAGGGAGGGAGGGGTGGACAGGCCCTGACACGAGCTGAGCTCATGCTGTGAGTCAGGAGGAAACCTCTGCCTCCTGGACTTCCACCCCTTGGAGATGGGCCTGGCTTTTGTACCCTCTGGCCTCAGTAGAAGACTTTCTCCAGGTAGGAATTCAGGAACATTCCAGTGGGGTCCAGCTTTTCACGGATGGCACAGAACTTGGGAAAGGCAGGATACATTTTCTCAAAATCCTTCCGGGTGCAGTTGTGGGCCTAGGAAGCAGAGACCAGGAGTCTTGTTCCTGGAGCCAGAAGGTCAGCAGGGCTGAGTCCCCGAGTCTGCCTGTGTGACACCCCTCCTTGCAGACACATGGACATGTGCGTTATACAGAGACCCCCAAAGAGCTGAGTGCGGTGGTGCACTTCTGTAATCCCAGCACTCAGGAGGCTGAGACAGGAGGATCACCTGCCTAGACTACGTATGGAGATTCTGAAATCCCCTCCTCCAAAACGAAGGGGAGAATTTTGGAAAGTGGAGCAGGGAGGGGCTAGAAAGCAGCCCTGGACTCCCCATGCCCATTACAATGTGACGCTATGGGGTGTCTCATCCCACCATCTCAGAGAGTCCTCACTTTCCTGTCTGCTAAAAGGGCTCACAGATGCTGACTTATCCTGCTCACAGGCTTCCTACAAAAGTCAAATGAAGGGAAAGAGACACACATCTCTGAGCACCCGGGGGGCCCGGCGGTCACCTGGAACTGTGGGCACCCGGGGCTCAGGAAGAGGAAGCAGGTCTGGGAGAGGGAGGCTGAGCCCAGCCTTTCCTGGAGGTGCCCAGCAGCTGCCCACAGCCCTACCTTGGCCCAATGGGGTCTGCCCCCAAACTTCTTCATGATAGTCTCATAGGCCAGCCAGTAGTCCAGCCGAGGCACGTCCTTGCCGTAGGGCCTGGGGACAGGGGAGGCAGGAGGTGAGCCCACCCCAGCCCACATGTGCCCACCATGAGGGCGCCTTATCCACGCCTGCCCAGCACCAAGCCCGGGAGGTTAGGACAAGGCCAGCTCCTACCACAGGATGCGAACAGCAGCCGGCCAGCACCCCACGGCTTCCGCTGGTCCCCAAGGGGGTGTGAAGAGCCTGCATCCCCTCGGGTATTATTCAGTGAGTGTCTGAAAGGAACTGTGAGCTTAATCTTGTCTGTGAAAGGACAGAGCTGAGAAACTCCTGTGGACTAGCGTCTCTCCTGTGCCTGGCTGTGCAGTGGTGTTCGGCCGCTGTGCGCTTCTGCTGCAGCAGTGACCTGCCAGGTGGGTGTAGTCTCGGGCGGTGCCCCGACTGTTCCTGCTCACGTGGCGCCCCTGTTGGTAAGCAGTGCACATGTGTGCGTGTGTGTGCGTGTGTGTGTGTATGTGTGTGTGTGTGTGTGTGTGTAAACAGGCTATTTTTTTTTTAACAGAGCCTTGGGATTTTAGATTAACCTGTTTATGCCTGGAAAATCTGACCACACAACCTAATTAATGGACCATTTTGGTCAGTCCTGCTGCCCAGCCAGTTAGGTCTGACTTCATTTTCCTTTTTCTTCTTTCCTCTTTCCTTCCTTCTTCTTTCTCTCCTTTCCTTCTCCTCTCTCTCTCTCTCTCTCTCTCTCTCTCTCTCTCTCTCTCTCTCTCT